TCTAGGCCTGAAACGTCAGCCTTCCTGCTCCTATGATGGTGCTTGGCCTGCTGTGTTCATCCAGCTCTACACCTTGTTATCTCAGATTTTCCAGCATCTGCAGTTCCTACTATCTCTAGAGAACATGTTGATGTTTTTAGCGCACCAGTATTAAAAATGTAAATCAAAAATGAATCAATGATTTGTCACTGCATTTTGTTTTCATTACATTCACATGTCTGGATTGTTAGTGATGGCACACAATATCTTTGGCAAAGCTCCCAATCTCTCTGCAATCAGGCATGACAACATGAAAGAAGAAAGAAAGAACTTACATTTAGTTTGCAGTTCTTACTATTTCAGGGTGTCCTAAAGCACTGGTCAGCCAAGAAGGTCTTATTAAAGTGCTGTAGTTTTGGAAACAATTTAAACCCTGGTTCTCAAGACATGGTGTCTCAATTCAAATAAATGCAGAAAGTGGTGGAAATGAGCAGTACATTGATCAGCATTTAAACAAAGATAAATAAACATTTCAGCAGTGACCCTTCACCAGTCCCTGAGATGTTAATACGTCTTAGTCTAACTTAACAACCCTTTGTATCTCTTTGCATCTCTCCTGTTTTACCTCTCACTTCGATGGATAAATAACCCATATCATTGCGGTGAAAACAGAGTCATTTCCAGATGGCTAGGGTTGTGTACTGTGCAACATCAGAAACTCAGTGAGTTCCAAATTGATGGGTCCATGCAGCTTCTTCTGGTCCTGTCTCACCATTCAACAAGATCTTGTCTGATCTATACTGAAATCCATCGAGTAATTCTGGTTCTGCAAACCCTTACTACCTGTGCCTAACTAAAAGGGAATCAAATTGAAAGTTCCAATCAACCTTCAACCTCAATAACTTGTTGGGGAGATTTCCAGACAGGTACTACTGTTTGTGTGAAAAAAAAGTTTCCTGATGTCACCCTCAAATGGCCCAATTCTGATTTGAAAGTAACTGAATTGAATTGTGCTGTGATTACTGACTGCACAGAATGTGCATCTCCCATGGACTCAAGCCTTGCTATTTTGATCTCATGGATTCTGCCTACCATGGGGCATCAACCCTTGGTGACTGCACTGTAATCTTGAGGCTGTTCTACCTCTAGGTCTAATGCATCTCAGTCTTTACCTTATTTTAAAGTGTCTGACTCCCAGGAATTCCAGTAAACTATTTGTTTGCATTCTAAATGTACATGACACAGGTTAGAGCCATCTAGTGCGGCTTTTCCAATCCCCTCACCTTGACAGCATGTGACTGTTGTTGTCACGGTTACATCATCATCACTAACATATTCATTCTCATCTCGCTTCAGTTATTTTAAGGCTTCTGGTTCTGGACTAACACAATAGAGGAAACAATTTACCTCTAAATCTATTCAGTTAAAATTTTAAATCATTTTAAATCTTCTATACTCAAGTGAATACTAACCGTGTTTGGTTGTAAAATCCTTTGCCTGGAACAGGATGAAATGCTGGGATTTAATGTGTGCATTTTTAATTTACACAGTGACCGACGCAACACTGCACTAATGTAGACATTTGCATTTTGAAGACCTGTCAAGCACAATGAGTTATCATAGCTGTTTATATATTGGAATAGCAACAGACCACCAGTGTTCATCTAATGCTTTATGTTGTTGCCTGTTTATCATATATATGTCAGAACTTCCAATAGGCAGCATTTGATGAGAGTGAATCATTACTAATATCTGTGCAGGGTCTGGCGTACAAGACAATGCAATGAAGATTTTTTTTTTAAATTAGAGTATAAAGGTAAATACTTATCTTTGAAAAAAATTCCTGTTGCAGGATGGGTTTGGTAGCAATGATCAAGATCAGACCTGCTGTTTAATTTTTATCACATCCACAAAGACTATTTTATCCCAGTACTTTCAATCTGGGAATGCTCCAATCATTTACAGATTGAGAATGCTCATGGAGCCTATCTGTTAGCCAGAATAAATTTCAGTGAAAGATTCGTTAAAACAGTCTTTCATTCATCCCTGCTGAGATGTGTTGTAAAACTAAAAGTATTGGGTTAAATGTGTGGTTTCTGTATCGAAGCCTTTCAAAACTGGAAGCACCTGAAGTAGAAGGTCTAATTGTAGAACCCATCATTACACGGTACCAACAGGTTTCCATATTTCACCAAGTGCTTTTTCACCAATTTTTCTGTTAATCTGAGCTAATGTCCAACTGTGCCAAATTGCTAGTGTCAGAAACATAAAAGTAGCTCACTTGGGTTTCCAAAGAACTGAATGGAGGTTATTGATGATGATAATGATGTAGCTGATTGTTTCATCTCCTCTCCACAATAGTTAGCACAGGGGGAACTCTTATGTTGCTGATAAGGATACCTCATACTTACTCATTTTTGTAATACTTGTCAAAAAATGCCTAAAGCCAAGGGAAATTCACCAAGATGTGATATTTAGTGGTTTATAGAGCAGATTTCTGTAAGCCAATTGAATGATTTCTCTTCTTTTGTCCAGAAAATGCTGTGTCATGCTGGAGTATGATTCCTTAGGCATCTACTTAACTATGACCGTTATTTATGTATGGTCCAAGACAGTGTGTGTTGACAGGATTACCAGGTGGGCTTTACAAATGAGCCCTGACACAGACATATTCTCCAGTATATGGCCAACGATTGGACAGCTGCTATTCCTGGCTTTCAGCCTGTAGTTCTCATCCCCAGCCAACAGGATTTGTTAAGTCATGATAGAGATGAGGGGCGGGTTGGAAAGGAATGAGGGTCCTCCTATCCACATAGCTCACTTCCATGCGTATGAAACCAACTAAAGCATTAGGGAAGCTAAGAAATGGTGAGTGCTTTTCTGTCCTGTACAAAGTTGTACTGCAGTACTTCGCCTGGAGCTCTGGTAAGTTTGACCTCTTTGTAAGGCTAATGTCTTTCTCGTTCTTTACTTCTGCAGATTTTCTGCTCTGCACCATGCTGCACTCAATGGGAACACTGAGCTCATCTCCCTATTGATTGAAGCCCAGGCTACTGTGGATATCAAGGACAATAAAGGTGACTTTAAGATTTCAATTCTATGACTTCAACTTTCTTCCAAGGCAATATAATTAATGCAATCTCGGCCCAATAACAAAGCCCTGTGTTCACTGAGCAAAACTGTTTAGAATCACCATGAGAGCTTACAGGAGTTGTTCTGTTGGTTTACCTAAATGCCTCATACACAAAGTTTATTCTGTTTTACCGAAGCGATTCTGCACAAAGTACCACTAATTTCATGTAGTTAGCTCTCACTATAGCCTTCTTTGGTTTTACAATTTACAAAAGGCAGTCTATTCTCCAGTCTGGCTGAAAGGCAGTCACAGCGGATTACGGCTAATATGGTTAGAACTGATTTGACTATTGACAGGTCTCAATTCCAATTTTCAGAGTGTGCAGTTAGTTATGGTGTTTGTATTAACTACAGTTTTTCGTGTCTAGGCTGAGGTCTGAATGTGGTCCTAGAAGTGAAGGTTAAAGTGTTCCACAGAGAGGAGGGAACTCACACTTGAACAAACACCAGTCAGTGACAATTGGGATACATACCAGAGCCTACCACAGCCAATGCAGTAGAGGATATTTAAACCAAACTGCACCTCTCAATCTTGAATAAGAGTGCTTTAATGAGAGCACTTTGAGGATAACTCTGACTTTGGATATTATTATTAAGCATATAATAACCATCTATTTGACATAATCAGCTCCATTTCTAGGTCTTAGAATCTGACTGAATATCACCCTTTGTTCAGGACGCCCCATAAGACAACAACAGGAGTATGCCATTCAGCCCCTTGAGCCTAATCCACCATTCAATGAGATCATGGCTGAACTGTGACATAAGTCCATACATTTGCTTTTGGCCCATAGTTCTTAACACCTTTGCTTGACAAAAGTTTGTCTATCTCAGATTTAAAAATAACAACTGATCCAGCGATACTGCCAATACTGCCGTTTATTCCAAACATCTGCCACTTTTTGTGTGTAGAAGTGCTTCCCAACATCTCTCCTGAACCTGATTGTCAGACTGTGACCCTTACTTCTAGAATCCCCAACCTCTCCTGACTTTTCCTGGGACTGCACTATACAAAAATCAGGAATGTAATGGCACAGTCAGTAAGGTGATATGCCCCAACACTATTTTTATCCTAACTGTAACAAAATTAAGAGCTAAAAAAAACCAAAACAATGTATTTCCAAAGTATCAGAGTATTCTGTTGTAGTGCCTAACTCTGCTAATCTGATTTTCCGTTATAACCTACTTCTCTTGAGTGAAGCTGTCGCTGACTGGAGTGTTATATAATCTGTATAACTGTTTCTTTAATGCAATGAGTAGCATTCTCACAAGAAAGTAAAAACCTACATTCATATATCACCTTTCGTGGACTCAAGAGGTGCTAAAGTGCTTTAGAGGCTCTGTATTCCTGTTTGAAATGTAGATACTGTGGTAGTGTGGGAAATCTGGCAACCAGTTTGTAAACAATAGCATTGAGACAATTGACAAGATGATCTGTTTATTGACGTTGATTAAGTATAAATATTGACAGGCACCAGTGACTTCTTCCCCGCTCTTCCCTCAAATTCATGTGAGAGGGCACAAGAGATCTTGGTTTAATGCAAGCGTTTTGTCAGTGTGATCCCATAAGACCATAAGACATAGGAGCATAAATTAGGCCATTTGGCCCATCGAGTCTGCTCCGCCATTCAATCATGGCTGATTAGTTCCTCAACCCCATTCTCCTGCTTAGTCTCCGTAACCCTTGATCCCCTTGATAATCAAGAACCTATCTATCTGAGTCTTAAAGTACTCAATGACCTGGCCTCCACAGCCCTCTGTGGCAGTGAATTCCATAGATTCACCACTCTCTGGCTGAAGAAGTTTCTCCTTATCTCCGTTCTAAAAAGTCTTCCCTTTACTCTAAGGCTGTGCCCTCGGGGTTCTAGACTCTCCTACCAATGGAAGCATCTTCCCAACATCAACTTTGTCCAGGCCATTCCCATTTCCCTGCCCCAGGTTTCGTGTGAGTCCATAGTGAAAATTTGGGGACGTTGGGTGTGTAAAGAGTTGTTGAGTTTGGATTGTGATGGAGGTTACAGTAAACAGGTGAAGGCCTTCAGTTTGCTGAGTAGGTAGAGCATGACAGGAAGTGTTTAAATGTAAGGTGTGTGAAAAAGCCCACCTACTATTTCACTGGCATTTTTGTAAAAGCAGCAATCAGCTGTTGATGAGGCCACATTTACCATTAGAAAGAATACATGGCTTAAACAGACCCTCCAGCTCTTAGCATTCAGCCTAAGCTCTGTAACAGCCCTTGTAGCCTCTTGGCAACCTCAAAATCCTGTCTTCCGATCCACAGTTTGTAAAGCCCTGGTTTAGTACCACATCTGAAAGGTGGAACCAACCAACACTACACAGCCCCTCAGTACTACAATAGGACCGTCGGTTTAAGTTATATGTTCAAGTTGCTGGAATTGGGATTGAATCCACAGCCAGTATTCTAATGAACTAAAGCAAATGTGTAGCTTCCTAGAAGACATTGTGCAAGCCTTGTCCTAAGACATACACTGCATTTGACATCAATAGAGCAAAAAAAAAATTAAAGAAACTAGGAACTGAGGAAATTGGCTATTATTAAAAGCATCTACTCACTCAGAGGCAATAGTGCCACAAAATGAGCCTAAACAGAATCTTAGCCAGAGCTCAGTTGTCATTGCAATGAAAAATTAGTTTGAATAACTTACAGTACAAGTATAAGTTGAATGGACTCAAGCGCGGATTTGTAGTGTTGGAGAATTAAAATATATGTAACTGCAACCTGGCAGTAAAAGTGTCACCCACCATGTATAAGTCTTCATCTATTTTGCATAAAGTTGCAGGGAGATACAGTGATGTTCATTGCATATTCAGAGGGGAAAATTAATCACTAGTTCAAAAATGTCATGATAAATTTATCATTTTGCTGCACAGAAATGCTGAGGCAGAACAGGTTTTTTTTAAATCTCTGAACTTAGATTTGAATTTAAATTTCATTGCAATGACAACTGAGCTCTGGCTAAGATTCTGTTTAGGCTCATTTTGTGGCACTATTGCCTCTGAGTGAGTAGATGCTTTTAAATTTGGATTCCAGTCTATTTGGCCTTCAAAATTTAATTTCAATTCTACATCTACGTAAACATTTCCTGTACCACTGCAGGGCTACAATAAGAGATGTAATAATGCAAAGGGTGGAATGCGTCTGTGTTTTGGCCTAAGTTTTCACTTGCAATTGGAAGATTGGGAAGGACATAGTTTAGGCACAAAACCACTTAGCCAAGTTGGACTTTATGGTAATTAGCATACAATTGAGCTACAACAAGGATGGGATCTGTCGTTGGTGGCTTAAATCCTATGGGATGCTTTGTCAGCTATAATATGTGTATATTTTATATATAATATATATGTTTTATATTTTCTGTGTGTGTGTGTGTGTGTGTGTGTGTGTGTGTGTGTATAAATAATTACCTTGTGCAGCATTGAAATAAATCAGCAAGGTGTCCTTTGAGGTGAGTTGTCTGTTTTAATTTTGTTTTCTTTTCTCCTCCCTGTCAATAGCTATGAGGCCGTTGCACTATGCTGCGTGGCAAGGGAAGGCTGAGCCAATGAAAATGCTCCTGAAGGCAGGGTCAAGTCTCAACTCCCAATCAGATGAAGGCCAAATCCCATTGCACCTTGCTGCGCAGCACGGACACTATGAAGTGGTGAGGAGAGAATTTTTCTGTCTCAGAGATTTTCTGTTTCTCTCTCGACTAAGGTGGAGCAAAAGGTGACTGAATTATGTATGCATTAAACTGATTTAATGGGCTAAACCACACTACCAAGGGAAGGGACAAGCCAAGGAGCAGAGTTCCCGATTTGTTTGTCTTCATCTGCATCTTCTTCAGTTTGCAAAGATAATTTATATGCCATTAATTTTTTTTTAGTTGTAGTATCAAAGATTCCAACACACAATACAAAGTGATACATCATCTCCTGTTGCTCCATAACTAAAAGTAATTGGTATAAGAATCCTAGGGGTTTGAGGAGAATTCTTTGGAACAGACAGCAAGTTGATGTGATCTTGGAATGGACTGCCTGAAAGGGGACTGTTGGTGAGGAAGCAGTTTCAATAGGGACTTTTGACAGGGAGTTGGGTTGTATATGAAAAACATTCAGGGTAATGAAGATAGTAGAACCAATTAGATAGATCACTCAAATGAAAAAAAAGTCTCTCTATTCAGTAACTCTGTCGCATATACTACCTAAGGGACCTTATGTCTGATTGAGGCTCCCTATTCAAAACTAAGCTGCCAAAGTTAGATAAATCTTAGAGATCCAATATCAAGTGTGCCTCAAGCTTCATGTAGATGGATCAATCCTTGAATTCCTAATCTCAGATGTTACATTCTGATTTGTGGCTCCCAGTATCACTCCTGCACCACTGCTCTTTGTACTGTTGCATCCTCAGCTGTTACCAATCGCGGTGTGCAGGATTAGTGCCTGTTTACTAATGTTTAACTTTTGAAGAGATTGCATCTATACAATGCCAGAGACTAACTATCTGATTTACAATTGGAGTTGTTTGCAAAATAATATTGAAATGCTTATAGTATGCCCCAATGAAATTCAACACTTTAGACGCCATCTGCACATGAATAGGCGCCTAGTGGACAGGAATTGGCAGTCTGTGTACCTGAGCCACAACTACTGGAAATATCCTCTCAACAGTGGCATCCAAGAAGAAAAGAAAGTCTTTGATGCTAAATAGGAACTGATTTGCTCTTTGGGTATCTCAGTATGTACTTTTCAGTCTCACTTTTCCAAGAATTATTGCTTGAGAGACAAAGCACAAAGTGGATATGACAATCTCCATCACAAAAGTTCTGTCAAGCAGGAAGGAAAAGCTCGGCAAGATCGAATAGGAAGCTGAATGAAGGGATTTGGGTCCAGTTCAATAATTTTCATTTCAAAATATCATGAAATGTCAAAAGATTTACCTGTGGACTTTCATGACATGATGCCAAATCACTGAAAAATGGTTCAGCCAAAGTAAGTACGTCTGAACTCTTACTTTCTTCGTTGCCCTCAGGTATTTCTGACTCTGTTTGTTCATTTGTGCAGAATCTACACAACCTAAGGAACTGTATGAAATGATAAGTGAATGTAGCACTTTCACAGGGGAAGTCATCTATGACCAGCATGTAAAATACACTTGATTTCCTGGTACCATTTGTTAAACTAGAAGCCTGGATAGCTGCAAAAGCAAAATATTAAAGCACTTGAAGCAAAAAAATTGCTGGAACTACTCAGCCAGTCAAGCAGAATCTGTGGGGAGAGAAACAGAGATAATGTTTCGGACTGCAGGGAAGACTTAGAAATGTAATTGGCCTTGGGTCAGTCAATTGAGTAGAAAAAGAACATGAATGATTTTATGGGATACAATGAGAAACATTAAATGAAGTGTTGGTGGGCCACAGTTAAAGCGAGTGAAAATTAGACAGTTGAGAAACAAGTGACTTGTAAAAGGGAAGGTGATGGCCCAGTGGCGTTATTGCTAGACTGTTAATCCAGAGACCCAGATAACATCCTGGGGACCTGTGTTTGAATCCCACCACAGCAGATGGTGGAATTTAAATCCAATAAGAAAGACTGGAATTAACTGTCTAATGAATCTGTTATCAATTGTTGGGGGAAAAAAGACCCATTTAGTTTTGCTAATGCCCTTTAGGGAAGGAAACTGCCATTCTTACCTGGTCTGGCCTACATGTGACTCCATACTCACAGCAATGTGGTTGACTCTTGACTGCCCTCTGGGCAATTAGGGATGAACAATGAACACTGCCGAGACAGTGGCGCCCTTGAACTGTGAATAAAAATTATTATTAAAGAGGTGTAAATGGTAGAAAGAATGAACTACCATCCAAAAGCAAAAACAAAGAGAACAACAAAACTAGGATCAAAACTCTAAAAGGAATGGAAGCAAAATGATTGGATAGAGCCAGTAGTCTGAAATTATTGGATGCATGCTTGAGTCCAGAATGATGTGAAGGGCGCAAGTGACAAAGTCCTGAAGCCTGTGGTGATAGCATGGACGAGTTGGACTGAAGGGTACAACTGAATGACTCCAATCAACATAGAACACAACAGAATTCCTCCTGCTGCGGTCTTCCAAGTTCTGCCTAGAATTTTTGTTGGTCACGCTTGTTAGTCAAGTACAAGCCTTTGAGCTGAAGTTTGATTTCTGGGTTTAGTCATCCCAAGATCTTCAACATTTCAAAATCCTTCTGTGTTCTAAGCACGGCTATTGCATAATTCAAAGAATTCTGGGCAGAACTTGGAAGACCCCAGCAGGAGGAATTCTGTTGAGTTCTATAGCATGGAAACAGACCCTTCATTCCAACTCGTCCATACCAACCAGATATTCCAAATCAATCTTGTCCCATTTGCCAGCATTTGGCCCATTTCCCTCTAAAACCTTCCTACTCATGTACACATCCAGATGCCTTTTAAATGTTGTAATTGTACCAACCTCCACCACTTCCTCTGGCAGCTCATTCCATACACACAACGACTCCGTTACGTTGATGACTGTATCGGCGCCGCCTCGTGCTCCCACGAGGAGCTTGAACAGTTCATACACTTCACTAACACCTTCCACCCCAACCTTAAGTTTACCTGGACCATCTCTAACACCTCTCTCCCCTTCCTGGACCTCTCTGTCTCCATATCGGGCAACCACCTAGAAACCGATATTCATTTCAAGCCCACCGACTCCCACAGCTACCTAGAATACTCCTCCTCCCACCCACCTTCCTGCAAAAATGCTATCCCCTATTCCCAATTCCTTCGCCTCCGCCGCATCTGCTCCCAGGATGAGGCATTCCACTCCCGTACATCTCAGTTGTCCTCGTTTTTCAAGGACCGTAACTTCCCCTCCTCGGTGGTCGAGAACGCCCTCAACCGTGTCTCCCACATCTCCCGCACCTCATCCCTCACACCCCGTCCACGCAATAAAAACCAAAAAAGAATCCCCCTCGTCCTCACGTACCACCCCACCAACCTCCGGATCCAACGCATCATCCTCCGACACTTCCGCCATCTGCAATCCGACCCCACCACCAAAGACATCTTTCCCTCCCCACCTTTATCTGCTTTCCGGAGGGACAACTCTCTCCGTGACTCCCTTGTCCGCTCCACACTCCCCTCCAGCTCCACCACACCCGGCACTTTTCCCTGCAACCGCAGGAAGTGCTACACCTGCCCCCATACCTCCTCCCTCACCCCCATCCCAGGCCCCAAGAAGACTTTCCACATCAAGCAGATGTTCACCTGCACATCTGCCAATGTGGTATACTGCATCCGCTGTACCCGGTGTGGCTTCCTCTACATCGGGGAAACCAAGCGGAGACTCGGGGACCGCTTTGCAGAACACCTACGCTCGGTTCGCAACAAACAACTGCACTTCCCAGTCGCGAACCATTTCAACTCCCCCTCCCATTCCTCAGACGACATGTCCATCCTGGGCCTCCTGCAGTGCCACAACGATGCCACCCGAAGGTTGCAGGAACAGCAACTCATATTCCGCTTGGGAACCCTGCAGCCCAATGGTATCAATGTGGATTTCACAAGTTTCAAAATCTCCCCTCCCCCCACCGCATCCCAAAACCAGTCCAGCTCGTCCCTGCCTCCCTAACCTGTTCTTCCTCCCACCTATCCCCTCCTCCCACCTCAAGCCGCACCTCCATCTCCTACCGACCAACCTCATCCCGCCCCCTTGACCTGTCCGTCCTCCCTGGACTGACCTATCCCCTTCCTAACTCCCTACCTACACTCACCTTTCCTGGCCCCATCCCCGCCTCTTCGACCTGTTTGTTTCTTCTCCACCTATCCTCTCCTCCATCCCTCTTCTATCCGCCTCCCACTCTCTCCCTATTTATTTCAAAACCTCCTTCCCCTCCCCCTTTTCTGATGAAGGGTCTAGGCCCGAAACGTCAGCCTCTCTGCTCCTATGATGCTGCTTGGCCTGCTGTGTTCATCCAGCCTTGCACCTTGTTGTCTCGGATTCTCCAGCATCTGCAGTTCCTACTATCTCTCACCCTCTATGAAAGAAAGGTTGCCCCTTAGACCCCTTTTAAATCTTTCCCTTCTCACCTTAAACCTATGCTCTCTAGTTTTGAACTCCCCTGCCCTGGGAAAAAGACTTTGGCTATTCATCCTATTCATGCCTCTCATGATTTTATAAGCCTCTGTAAGGTCACCCCTCAGCCTCTGACGCTCCAGGGAAAATAGCCCCAGCCTGTTCAGTCTCTCCCTATAGCTCAAACCCTCCAACTCCAGCAACATCCTTGTAAATCTTTTTCGCGCTCTTTCAAGTTTCACAATATCTTTCCTATAGCAGGGAAACCAGAACTAAACACAATATTCCAAAAGTGGCCTAACTAATGTCCTGTGATTATGAAGGATTTGCTGTCCAGTTGACATGAGGGTGATTAGCACCCCCTGGGAATGTCCAAATGGAATGTACTGAATTGCGAGAGCAGAGTCCAGAGGAACTGAAGTTCATTCAGAGCTCCAAAGATGTGATGCTGCATCTCTGTTCTGATTTGATGTAACCAGCTTGTACACACATTTGCACTCCTTGTAAAAGTGAGTGCTTTGAACGACTGGAGCGAGTCCAGCAAAGAATTACAAGGATGATACCAAGATGATAATGAATCCAATAAGGAATTTAAGGGAAACGTTTTCAGTCAGAGTCATTTGAATGTTGAACGCGCTACCACCTGGAATCGTTGAGGGGAATATTTCAAATGTCTTTAAAGGCAAATGCATGAGGCAGACAGAAACAGAGGGATATGTCGATGGCATGTGATAAAGTAAACTGAGTGGGAGAACGCTCATGTGGAGCATGAACACTGAAATGAACCAACTGAATTGCGGCTTCTGAGCTACACTTAATTCACTTTGCCTATTTGACTAGCTCCTTAAGCTCATCCCAAAGCTTTAATTCACTGGTGCCAACAAAGGAAACATGTTTCTACTCAAATCCATATGTACACAGTATTAATATCCAGTCAATACCAGCTCTCTATCCAAAATATGATTGATGTCCTTAGTCCTACCGCAATACAGCCCGCTTTTTGTTTGAGCTCCAGTGTATTTGGTTGCTATTTCAATATCTTGCTGTTGACCATATTTCCTATGATCTATGACCAAAAATGAAATCCAAGGTGTTAACAAAGAACTAATTTTCCAATTTCCACCTTCTTTCATTTTCTCCCTTCCTCCTTACAAGAGGCCTCCAGTACTTCACCAAAATGACATTGCTCATACTTGGGCGTCAGTAATGTTTTTTTTGCCAGTGTTGCTTTCCATAGCGGATGTTGCAGCTGTATCTGGCTCTGTCCCCACTCTAACTCCACACTTGTACATCTATATATTCCATCAGGCACCAATCTATAAGATGTTCCCTCCTTAGCTCAGGTGTAAGATCAAACCTCCCATTGCCCAGCCGATGTCAGCTAATTTTGCACCTGCAGTTAGAAATAGAAACTAGATCCTTCCTCCCTATAACAGATAGATTTGATATCAAGCAACATCAAATTGCATTTATAAAAGGCCCCCAGCTTCTCAAAATAACCCAGTATATTCAAGCGACTATTGACTCCAAGTCAAAGAAGGGATGGGAGGCTGAAAGACTGTCAGAAAGGCACGTTGTAAACAGTGTCTTATAGTTCAAGAGAGAACTGATAATTAGAAAATACTTGAGGAGAAACCTCCAAAGGCGAAAGCTCAGAGGATTGAAACTGAGAGGATTGAAAGCATCATGATGGTGGGGCAGTGAGGTGGGCATATCTTGGCCAGAACTTTGTTGAACATGAGAGGCTCAGAAAACTGGCATGAATGCTGCATAAAGCATCATTCCTGGAGCTCCTCTGTAGTGATGTTGAAAGAACGGGAGAACCCTAGTAATAATTCCTGTCCACCGTTCTCACCCCCTTGTTACGTTGGACCTGTTAGCCCTGAACATTGCAGGTCTTAAACTGTGAGTGTAATTTGAGTCACTTAGTCTATGGGTGATAGTTTTAAAATTGGTGCTATCAATTCATCCTCTATTTGACACTATCAACCCCCTCCCCAATTCAAAATAAGCCCCAATTCCTTTTACTCTCCACCATTATTTACCCTGCTAGAATAGACCCATCCTTTCTGTCAGATTGTTTTCTGAATAAACGGAAGATTCTGAATTTCCCCGTGCCCTGGGGCTGGAATCTTGTTACAGCCCCTGTAGGATTAGAGTGAAATGGAGAGTTCTAATTTATTCCCTTCTCTGTACCGCTGGGCTCACAGAGCTCCTTGCTACACGGATCCTCCCAGCATGGTGTTACTTTACAACTCTGTCTATTCCCCTTTACTGCTCGGAGAACTTCCCAAACTGCTCAATAATTATTACAGTGATTTCTCTGATTGAATTGATGTGGGAACATAGGGACCAAGAGAGGCGCCTCCACTCACTTTCACCTTTCAATTAGATCATGTCCAATCTGAACCTTGATTCTATTTGCCTTTAATACCCTTCTGATGCAAAGATCTTTCAGTCTCAAAGTCTTACAGTTTTCAGTTGAAACCTATCCTCAAAGGCCTTTCAAGGGAAAGGATTCAAGATTTTTACATCTTTTTCGTGTGAAAAAGTGTTTCCTGTCATTAGGAATCACCACCCAGAGGTAATAAATATTCCATTGTCTACCACCTCAACTCCTATAATCATCTTAAAAACTTCAAATACTTTAGCCCTAAATCTTTTATATTCAAGGAGTTTCAGGGCTGGATTATGCAATCTGTCCTCATAATTTAACCCGTTAGTCATAGTATTACATAAAGGTATGGGTGCTGCTTAGCTCAATTGGCTAGACAGCTGGTTTGCGACAGAGAGTAATGCCAATCTCATGAGTTCAATAGCATGGTGACTGTTAAGTTAACCACCATTCATCTCTCTCTCTCAGTCCTCTGAGACTATGGTGACATTACCTTTATTTAGTACTTTGTATTATCTACTAGTCAGTGCACTATCTCTAGTTCTGAGGCAACTATATAAAGGGATTAGAATTACATACAAACTTACAAATTGGGGCAAGACAGTGGTGTAACTGTAATATCATACTGGACTAGCAATCCAAATTCCCAGACTAACTCTGATGGTACACATTCAAATTCCACAGATTTAAATTCTATTAAAATCTAGAATAAAAACTAATATCAGTCATGGTGTCCATCAAACTATCATCATCAATTGTTGTAAGCACTCAGCTGTTTTGCTAATGTCCTTTAGGAAAGGCAATCTGCCATCCTAACCTGGTCTGGCCTGCCTGTGAATCCAGACTCACAGAAATATGGCTGTCTGTTAACTATTTGCCCAGTAAAAATCAAAGGCAAGTAGGGATGGGCAACAAATGCTGGCCTTGCCATCAATGCACATACATCACATGAAAGAGTCAAGAGAAAAAGATCTGAAATACCAGCCTGCCCAAAATGAGAAGGTGTGGGGAAAATACCTCATGAAATCTTGGATGGATGTAGTCCTGTACATAGTTCATTCCACACGAAAAACAGAAACAACTGTTGGAGCACAAGAATCAACCTGGACACGATGAAAGGACAAAGGAGGTATTTCTACCCGTTACGGATTTTTGAGGGGCCATGGTTGTGGGGGCAGATAGAGCCACTGCCACGGGAGAGTGGCTTTCCTGCTTTCCTGCATCTCCTCCCGTTGGGCATTTTCAAGTTAACCAGGTCAGAGGCACAGCAACTATTCGCCTACAAGAGGCAGATAACCAATTGAAGCAACTGTGGGGCTAGTGAAGATACGGAATGGAATTTACCAATTGGGAGTTGAGGCTAAAACGTGATGTAACGCAGAGGCTCCCATTCGGAGAATGCAGGGGATATTAGTCACTCACTTGCAGTGAAAGACTCAAATCATTCCACTCTCGCCTTATATCTTAGAACCATGACACCAGCTTTATATAAGGAAGAAATTTCAGCAGAATAACAAGTTCATTTGCTTTGCCTGTTTTAATGGTTGTCTATTTCTAAATCTTACAGCACGGTAGTCAAAGTAGGTATTAATTGCAATACATAAGCTCTGCAAATAACTCTGACTTGTAAATATTCCTGAGCTGCACTGGAACAGAAAAGAAAACTGAAATATATCTTTTGTAACTGTGGGTGTTTTGGCTGGTTCACAGAGCCTTTCTTGATTTTTAAATTCATTAATCTCAGTTCTGCTGATGTTGCATAGTACAATTTGTATCTGCTTCATAAGTTACCAGTCGACCCTGGTCTTCAAAGTCAATGAAAAAGATGCATTTATGTATTCCGCTGCATTTGTTTCTCTGTTAGCTTGCTCGTTGCCTCCCTTTCCCATCTCTTGCTTGTCTATGTTGCATAGATACCGTTCCAGTATTACAACCAATTCTGGTCATTATTTACGAATATTTGCTTTGAGCACTCTCAGCCTATTTATCTGTTGAGGCTGTTGAGCAGGTAAATTCAACCCATCCTCAATCAGATTCACTAATGTACCGGCCAGTTTAATCAAAGTTTCTGTGATCTATCCTAGCACCCAAAACTACCTGGTCTATAAACTTCATCTAACCACTGATAGAGCCTATTGTATTGTTAATTGAAATTCCAATACAAAACTGGAGATCTGTTGTTTGGAAACATCAGTTGTCTAGAAATATTTGGAGCAAACCACGCAATTCTCAGGCTCTGCACTCAGAACATTGCATGGGTTCAAGAAGGCATGTGCTCCATAAAGATAATGAATACTTGACTCCTCCTTAATGCAGGACACAATACTTTTGGACTGCTTTATAATCTTTTGCCATTAATTTATGCTTAAAGGAAATATTTATATCTGACAAAGAGTCATACCAGAGCTGAAGCATTAATTCTGTTTCTCTCTCCACAGATGCTGCCAGACTGGCTGAGTTTCTCCAGCAGTTTCTCTTTTTATTTCGACAGCTGTTGTGGACCCTCCTGGTATTTTAATCAAAGAGCGATTTCCCAATCTGTTCACATTTGATAAGTTTGAGGATCAGTTTCCTTGGGTCCTCTTCCTCGCCCGTGCTGAAACTTTGGTAAAAAAGACTTGTTGAAACCCCATTTCCTGGCCTAAACTGGGCTTTCACCAGGGTCCCAAAAGCAAAGCAGGAGAAGACCCAAGGAAATACTGTGATGGTGTGAATTGGGAAAGGACCCAGCTAAATCCCATGTTCTTTTCTTCTTGTGTGTTAGTCTGAGATGCTTTTGCAACATCAGTCAAACCCGTGTATAGTGGACATTGCTGGCAAGACACCCTTGGACCTGGCCTGTGAATTTGGCAGAGTTGGGGTAAGTTCAGGTCATTGTGTTGTCAATTATCACCACTATAGGATATTATTAGCTATTGCAGTCTGGTAATAGTCCGCCATGGTATTAAGAATTTCGGTTAAGTCTGAAAATGTGCCCTCTGTTTTAAGTGCTGTGCCTTCCTTTAAGAAATTGAGTTTTCCAATATTCATCCTGGGAGAGGACAAGACAGTGGGAAGGAGTCCCACTATGTCTCCCCTGCTCCCCCTACCTTCCTAAAAACAGTCTCGTGTTGTTATTATTTTGGTGATTTGGAGGTCCATTAGGTCTGTTTCAACCCTGCACACAAGTTGTATTGAAGGAAAATCCCCATTGTGTCCATTTCCTGCAAGTAATTCAGCACATGTTCTGTTTTCTTTTTGTACACCTCAGCCCTTCATTCAGACGTTTCAGACCAGATTTGAGGTACCAGTGTTGATACATTTGTAGTGCTTCGGTAACGTCTAACTTCCTTTCCTGTCTCTGAACTGTGAAAGCTGTCAGCCTGGGAACAGGCTGTACACTGAGTTACTATGGGTGTTGATGGCAGCAATATGGTCAGAAACTGTGGCCATCATGTTCCAGACTAACCAGCAATTCGTTCAGGAAATCCACAGGAAATGTCTAGAGTTCAGCGATTCATAGCTTTATGGATAAACCTGTTTACTAATGCAGTAATCTGAATGATATACGTGAGCTCCATCTGCACAACAAACTTTGTTACCATGACAATTGCTAAAGAGCATTCCTGGTTTACAATCCAAGATGCAACTAGAAGGCCAGGCCTTTCTCAACTCACATTTCCCATTCTCCCATTTTAACTGCTCGACCATGCTGCCAAAGCCGCATTCAGGAATTCCCTCCATAAACCACTTCATCATTTTAAAGCCTACCTCTGTGATCAAGCTTTCAACTAGCTCAGGCGACTCGGTGCAAAATTTGATTTGATTATTGCTCCTTTGAAGCAACTTTGGTGTTATTAGTTCCCAAGCTAATTGATGAGAGGGAAACCAGGGCACATACCTTTTTTTTGTGAGAAGATAATAAGCGCCATAAGAAATAGGAACAGGAGTAGGCCATTTGGCCCCTCAAGCCTGCTCCACAATTCAGTCAGATCATGGCTGATTCAACATTCCTCACATCCATTTTCGTGCGTTTTCCTCATAACCCTTGATTCCCCTCCTGATCAAAAATCTATCCATCTCAGCCTTAAATATACACAAGAACTCTGCCCCCCCAGCTCTCTATGACAAGGAGTTTCCAACGACTCACAACTCTTGGAGAGAAGAAATTCTTCCACATTTCTGTCTTAAATCGACGTCTCTTTATTCTGAGACTTTGCCATCTGCTCCTAGACTCTCCAGGAGGGGAAACATCTTCTTAAGTATTTACCTTGTCAAGCACCTTAAGAGTGGTATATGTTTCAATGAGATCATCTCTCATTCTTCTAAAGTCCAGTAGGTGGAGTGCCAACCTGTTTAGTCTTTGATTATAAGTCAATCCCCCATAAACCGGGGATCATACTAGTGAACGTTCTCTGAAAAGCTTCCAATGAAATGATATCTTTCCTTAAATGAAGGGACCAAAACTGCTCACAATGCTCCAGATGTGGTCTCACCAGCACCTTGTACAGTTACAATAAGACCTCTATACTCTTATAGTCCAAACCCCTGGAAATAAGGGCCAACATTCCATTAGCCTTCCTGATTACCTGCTGCACCTGTGTGACAGCTTTCTGTGTTTCATTTACAAGTATCCCTAAGTCCCTTTGGGTAGCAGTTTTCTGCTGTTTTTCTCCATTTAAATGGTATTCTGTTCTTTTGCTTCCCCTTCCAAAATGAACAATTTCACATTCTCCAGGTGGCACGGTGGCTCAGTGGTTAGCCCTCCAGGTTCAATTCCAACCTCAGGTGACTGTCTGTGTGGAGTTTTCACATTCTCCCCGTGTCTGCATGGGTTTCCTCCAGGTGCTCCAGTTTCCTCCCACAGCCCAAAGATGTGCAGGGTAGGTGGATTGGCTATGTTAAATTGCCCATAGTGCCCAGGGATGTTTAGGTTAGGTGGGTTAGACGTGGGAAATACAAGGGTAGGGGAATGGGTCTGGGTGGGATGCTCTTTGGAGGGACGGTGTGGACTTGTTGGGCCGAATGGCCTGTTTCCACACTGTAGGGATTCTTTTTGCCCACTTGCTTAACCTGTCAATATCTCTCTGTAAACTGTTTGTACCCCTCTTACAACTTGAGAAGTGTTTATTGACTTACTTAATGCAAACTCTCTCATCCTACTCCCCGTGTTATAGCTGTTCCCTTTTTATATCTACTCAAAAGCAATTAATATCCGCCATCTGATTCTCTTACACTTAACAAAGACATTAACAGCCCTGAAAAATGTGATTGACCAAATATTAATGCTTGGTACATTTTACTGCTCTATATAAGTAGAAGTTGTTGTTGGTTCTTGATTGATATGTTGGCTCTTCGAATGTTAGTGCTCGCTCAACCTCTTGGATATTTCACTCAGGTGGTACAGTTACTTCTAAGCAGTAACATGTGTGCTGCTCTGCTTGAAGCAAAGCCTGGGGATATCACCGATCCCAATGGAACCAGCCCACTACATCTGGCTGCCAAGAATGGACATATCGACATAATAAGGTTAGCTCCCACCACCGTGTTTCCTATTATTTCCCTTCAAGGCTTTTGAAGTAGTTTCAAGGTGGTCTTTTTGTCTCCTCCTGCTAAACTGTGACTAGAAAATCAATTAATTGTTGATGTTGAGGTAATAAATTCAAGAGTCTTTTATTACATTAACCAAATAGCTTGTTATAATAAAAACTGAAAGAACTACGGATGCTGTAAATCAGAAACAAAAGCGGAAATTGCTGGAAAAGCTCAGCAGGTCTGGCAGCATCCGTGGAGAGAAATCAGAGTTAACGTTTCGGGTCGAGTGACCCTTCCTCAACACAGTTCTGAGGAAGAGTCACTCTACTCAAACCATTAACTCTGATTTCTCTCCACAGATGCCACCAGGCCTGCTGAGTTTTTCCAGCAACTTCTGTTTTTGTAGCTTGTTATAATATTCTCTCATGAAGAAGAGTCATATCAGACTCAAAACTCTATTTCTCTCTTTGCAGATGCGGCCAGTCCTGTTGAGTTTCTCCGGCATTTTCTGTTTTTATTTCAGATTTCCAGTCTCTGCACTATTTTATTTTTTATTATAGCTTGTTATAATGTGCTGTATACTTAGCCCAACTTCTCTTGTTCCTTTGGATTTCTGTGTACCCGAGGTGGGTAAAACAGAAGGGATGATACTTAATTATTCCAGCAACCACCCCAACACCCAAAGACAGAGCTGCATCAAGACGTTATTCAAATGAGCCACAACACACTGCAGCTACCTGGAATTGCGCAAAGCAGAACAGGAGCAATTATATGGAGTTTTTAAAAGGGGCTACGTGTCGGTCATTTTCCTGATAATTTGTGCATTGCGCAAATACCATCAGGCACATGTGAAATTTTCTGCTGACCAGGTTGTGCAGATCCAGTTGAGCTTCCCTTGCATATTTATATCAACTCATTGTTGATCGTGTTTTGGTATTACTTATCTGGAAACCTGCCTGCAAAATAATGCAGTGACTATAAACATTACACCACTGACAATATTTTCACAGACATGAAAATTGGTACCAGGCAACACAACTACTTAATTTGCATTGCCAACAATTAGAATTTTGTCTTGAAAAATCTAAGTGACAATTATTTTACTTCTGATGCACTTCTTAAGAAGGGTAGTTAATCCGTGCAGGTTTCCTTGTCATATTTATTGAATATTGCTCTCTGTATTTAACTAAATGATTTGTGTTCATAGGTCTATTTAAATAAATGCATTAGTAGCTGTATGTATGTTCAGCGCATAATATATCCATTTTAGGTGCTTATGATATTGTCACATCAGGCTGCATTTAATGCAGGATTTTGCTATAATTAAGGGTAAATGGTCATGTAAGTATCCAAGAGCAGATTTTAGATCTAAATCACCAAGGGAGAAAGGATTAGAGACTCAGGGCTATAGCAATATAGATTTTCTGCCAACTGCTGTGTCTGTCTTTTAATGTCTTGTAATAGACTCTACTTCTCATTTTATAAAAAGAACCACTTCTAACAATTGGACAGATAATGTCTGCTGTGAAACCATTACAATACAAAATAGTTCTCCAAAGTCCGAACATGGAACAGCATTAAAATAAAAACAATGCTCAGCATCACAGTTGATCTGAAGGGAAACTGGCTTTGATCAGGATCATTCTGTGTAGTTGGGAAAGTTTGTTCGTATAGAGATTGGAGGATGAGATGAGACATTTCGGCTCTTAAAAGCACTAAGCTTGTGAACATTGTTGTCTGTCATTCCCCGCTCAGAGGTTGCTTGTTTATGAGGCATGAAGCTGGGGGTTTATATCAGTGATGTGAGCATATGCTCTGGGTTGGCAGTTTGGTGTAGAACAGGGGGAGTGCAGTGTTGTCTGGGGTACTGTCCTTCAGGAATCAAGCAGACACTCTGCCCACCTTCTCAAATGGACGTGAAAGCTGCTATGGTGATATGTCAGATCGCAGAAAGTACAAAGTATGCATATTTGCAGGAGTGCAGAGTGCAGTTTCTTTCCTTAGTTCCGTTTCTAAATCCACAGGCAAAGAATGTTGCTTCTTGGACCTTTACCAAAGGAAATAAGATATCCAAGATACTGGGGCCTTGTGTGAAATCTTTGTATCCTCTTTAGTCACAGGCAAGGTCATGGAGCATAGCAGAATAGCCAGCGTTGTTCCTTTTCTTACAAAGGGCAACAGGGATAATCCTGGAAATTACAGGCTGGTGAACCTTACTTCAGTAGTAGGGAAATTATTGGAGAAGATTCTTAGGGATAGGATTTACTCACAGTTGGAAAAGTAAGGACTTATCAGTGATAATCAGCATGGCTTTGCCTGGGGAAGTACATGTCTCACAAACTTGATTGAACTTTTTGAGGAAGTGACAAAGATGATTGATGAGGGCAAGGCAGTAGATGTCTATGTGGACCTTAGAAAGGTCTTTGACAAGCTCCCTCATGACAGGCTAACACAGAAGATGAAGTCACATGGGATCCACAGTGAACTGGTGAGATAGTTACAGAACTGGCTTAGTCATAGAAAACAGAGTAGCGGTAGAAGGGTGTTTTTCTGACTGGAGATCTGTGATCTGTGGTGTTCCACAGGGATCAATGCTGGGACACAGGTGGTCTGTAACATATGTATAACTGATTTGGAGGAGAATGTAGGTGACCTGATTAGTAAATTTGCAGACATCACAAGGCCCAGGGAAGTGAGGAGGATGCAAGAGGATACAGCAGGATATAGAAAGGCTGGAGATTTGGGCAGAGAAATGGCAGATGGAGTTTAGTCTAGACAAATGTGAGATGATGCATTTTGGAAGGTCTGATACAGGAAATGTTCAGTAAATGGCAGAACCCATAGAAACATCAACATACAGAGGGATCTAGGTGTACAGGTCCACTATTCCCTGAAAGTGGCAACACAAGTGGTTAAGATGGTCAAGAAGGCGTGTGGCATACTTGCCTTTATTGGTCAGGACATAGAGTACAAAAACTGGCAAGTCATGTCGCAGCTGTATAGAACTTTAGTTAGGCCACTTTCGGAATACTGCGTACGGTCCTGGTCACCACATGACCAGAAGGACGTAGAGGCTTTGGAGAGGACATAGAAACGGTTTAGCAGGATGTTCCCTGGTTTAGAGGCAATTAACTAGGAGGAACATCACAGGATATGGGGCAACCTGTTAGAAGCTTACAAAGTTAGGAGACACATGGAAAGAATGGATAGTCAAAGTCTTTTTTCCCATAGTAGAAATGTCAATTACTAAGAGACAAGGGTATAATGTAAATGGGGTAAGTTTAAAGGAGATGTGAGAGATAATGTTTTTTATACAGAGTTTTTTATAGAGTTTTTTATACAGTAAGTGCCTGGAATGGGCTGCCAGAAGAGTTCGTGGAGATGGCTACAATAGCAACATTTATGAAGCATCTTGACAGATATATGAATAGGCAGGGAGAAAAGGGATAAGGACCATGTAAAGGCAAAAGGATTTTGGTATAGAAAGGCGTCACGTTTCAGTGCAATCTCGGTGGACCGAAGGGACCTGTTCCTGTGGGCTGTACTGTTCTTTGTTCTTTGTATGTATTTCCTTCCTAAACCACTCTCCACGCTCTCTCCCCTTTTGTGATGTTCCTTCAAACATAATTCTGACTAAGCTTTCAGACAATCATCCATTATCTGTATTGGCTACAGGTGTCAGTCATTGTCTGAGTCAACCTTGGAAGACCTTATTGCAGTAAAAGTGATACGTAATTGCAAGTCATTTATATTATTGGCGTACGGGTCCCCTGCAAAAACCAACATGCCAACATTTACAAAGAAACAAAACTTAACTGTTTCACCCAACATAAAAGAAAGAAGAGAGATTTATATTTCTGTAGCACCTTTCACGATGTCAGTACATTTCAAAATGCGCTACAGCCAATGAAGTACTCATTTTCAAATGTGGTCATTGTTCAAATGTAGGAAACATAGCAGTCAGTTTGCTGTTTATGAGACCTTGCTATGTGCAATGTGATAATGACCAATTAATCTGTTATTCAAAGGGATAAATGTTGGTCAGGACACCAGGGAGAAGAACTCACTGTCGATGTTTAAATGAGCACCACAGATGCCTTATCACTGCCTGCCGATTTTTTTTTCACTCAGAACTCATCCACTGAGCCACGATAGCATGCAGAGCTAGTGATGTATTTTGTTTTTGTGTGGTCAATCCTGACTGGTTGCCATATAACCCCTCTTTGCAAGCCTTTCTTTTCATTGCTCCATCGATGAGATTACTGTCACGGTTCTCTACCATTTGCAAACCCAGATGTTGTCAGGCATCCTGTAATCACCAAACCACACTTTTCTCCTTGAGTCAAAGGCAAATTGCTTTTCTCTTTCATAAAGGATCTCATGTTTATGCAGCTGAATACTGTAATGGGGTTAATTCAGACAGTTGAGTGTGTCAAGCTAATGATACTGTCACACAATTCCATTCACGACTTGCTTCAATGTTGACAGGATTCCAAACTGTGCATGATGGCTGATTGTAGCACTTTTCGGTTCCTGCTCCTATTGTACAAATAGACAGTCAGTCAGAATCTCACATGCACTTTGCATTCCAGTGTTACAACTTGCTGTTATAATGTTTTAAAAATACACTTTTAACTGAAAATTGACAAAGTGGAGTTAATGGAAAGTGAAATCCCCATGAGAGGAAAAGTAATGGGATGCACAGGGATGCCAGATGCTTCCTAGATATGATAGATATGAATAAATAGGGATGCATAGAGGCTGGAAGCTGGAAAGTCTTCAGGTGAAACAATGAGCAAAATGTGTTGGGGAACAGGAAAGTGCTGGTGACATCTGCCAGAAAAGATTGGGCTGCATGACATTACAGGCAGTAAAAGACTAAGCTCTGGTTGCTTTCTTGCAAATGCCAGTGAAAAAAGTGTGGCTGTCCTCCAGGTCCTAGCCTCCTACATATACTTGTCAACCCTGATCCGACACAGTTCAGAGTCAATATC